TCCAGAACCCCTTGCAAAAAAACAAGACGAAGTGCACACGTGCGCGTCGTCGCGCGCGCATGCCGAAATCCTTCAAAAACATCCGGTGTCGGAAGGATTTCAAAATCGAGTTCCCAAATACACACACACACACACAAAAAAAAAAAAACAAAAAAAAAAACGCACACGCACACACACACACACACACACACACAGGGTTTCACAACACTGATTTCCCCCCCCCAAAAAAATACGCGCGCGCTCTTGCGAAAGCTTGAGAAAACCATCGGTTTTTCAACGTTTCCAAAAAATACTACCAAACGGGCTTCGAGAGTGCGCATCTCGAAGTTTTTCGAACGCCCTTGCGCGCGTGCCGCCGCGAGAATCCTCTGCAAAAAACTTGACGAAGTGCACGCGCGCGTGTCGTCGCGCGCGCATGCCGAAATCCTTCAAAAACCTTCGGTTTCGGAAAGATGTCAAAATCGAGTGCCCACAAAAACATCCAAAAAACACATGGTTTTGCAACACGGATGTTCAACAAAAGCGTGCGCGCGCGCTCTTGCGTCGTCGTCGTCGTCGTCCTCCCTCCTCCCTCGTCGTTGTCGTCGTCGCCGTCGTCCTCTGTTTCCTCGTCGTCGTCGCCCTCTTTGGCGTCGTCGCTTCCGTCGTCGTTGTCGCCGTGGTCGTCCTTCCTCCTCCCTCGACATCGTCGTCCGTCGTCGGCGTCTGGTCGTCGTCCCTCCTATTTGGTCGCCGTCGTCGTCGTCGTCTTCCCTCCTCCCTCGTCGTTGTTGTCGTTGTCGCCGTCGTCGTCCTCCCTCCTCGTCGTCGTCGTCGTCGTTGTTGTCGTCGTCGTCGTCGTCTTCGTTGGCGCCGTCGTCGTCGTCGTCGTCTTCGTCGTCGTCGTCGGCGTCGGCGTCGTCGTCGCGGCGTCGTCGTCGTCGTCGGCGTTGTCGTCGTCGTCGTCGTCGTTGTCGTCGTCGTCGAAGTCGTTGGAGACGGCGTCGGTGTCGTCGTAGTCGGTGTCGGCGGCGTCAGCGTCGTTGTCGCTGTCGTCGTCGGCGTCGGTGTCGTTGCCAAGTGCCATTTGGTATCTACCATCACGGTCTGAAGAGGTCTTGCGACCAAGTTGCGAGTGGGAGGGTGGGATGTTTGCACAAGCAGTGGAGAGGACAGCTTCAAGACAGTCAAAGTGAATTGCACAACATAGATTGCACCATATAGAGTGCACATCATATATTGCAGCACATAGATGGCACAACATCGATTGTACCACATAGAGTGCACAGCACAGATTGCCCCACATGTATCGCACCACCTAGACTGTAGCACATAGCTTGCACAACCTAGAGTGACCCGCACAGATTGCACTTCGTGGATTGTACAACACGTGTTGCACCACATAGAGTGGCCAACTTATATTGCATCACATAGACTGCACCACAGAGACTGCACCACATAGACTGCACCACAGAGCCTGCAACATGGATTGAACCGAGTGGACTGCACCACGTGGATTGCACAACCTACATTGCACCACCTGGAGTGCCACACGTGTACTGCACCATATAGATGGCGCCACAAAGGTTGCACAACATCGATTACCAGAAGCACACTGTGTGGGGCCCACGCTGGCCAACATATACATATATAGATATATATATATATATATATGGAAGAGTGCGGGAGAAATAGAGATTGTACATAATGAATACTGGTAAGAAGAAGGAGAAGAAGAGAGAGAAGTAGAGAGAGGAGAGGAGAAGAGAGAGAGAGAGAGACGATGACGATTACGATAACGACGACGACGACGACGACGACGACGACGACGTGGACGCAGACGACGACGACGACGACGTGAAGACGACGAGGACAATGCCTGCGAGGCCGCGCCGACGCTCCGCAGGGTCAGCCCGACGGGCTCCCCGTCCCTCCGAGACCTGTCGAGGAACATGCCCATGAAGTACACGCCTCGGTGTTGCCCACGACGACGACGAAGACGACGGCGGCGACGATGACGAAGACGACGCCGACAGTGACGACGACGAGGACGACGAAGGCGACGACGACGGCGGCGGCGAGGACGACCGACGACGAGGGCGCCGCCGACGACGACGACGACGATGACGACGACGATGACGATAACGACGGCGACAACGACGACGCCAACGACGACGACGATGACGCCGAGGACGATGACGACGATGACGACGCCGAAGTCGACGCCCACGACGCCGACGACGATGACGGCGACGACGACCGCTGTCGCTGTCGCTGGCGACGACGACGACGACGACGACGACGACGACGACGACGACGGAGACATCGACGGCGACGGCGGACGACGACACCGGAAAATGGACAGCGACTACGGTTGCGGCGGACGGCGAAAAGCGACGGCGGACAGTGACGGCGACGGCGACGGCGACGGCGACGGCAACGGCGACAGCGACGACAGCGACGGCGACGGCGACGGCGACAGCGACAACGACGATGACGACGACCACGACGATGACGACGACGACGACGACGACGACGACGACGACGGCTCCAAGAGGAGCCCGAGAGGAACCGACGAGGCTTCTGGGGCCCCCATGTTAGGCATTGTTGCGGGCTGCCTCGGCTGAGCGCAGCCCGAGTGGCACCCACCATTTCGGCGCGCCCGAGCGCGTGTGTTCCAAATTATGCCCTGGATGTCGTCCCTGACAACTGTAATGGCAGCTCAAGCTGGCAGGGCGCGCCCAATGGCACTCGCGACCGTCTCCTCGGCAGACAAATCGCTCAACAAACGGCCCTCCGGTAAAACGTCATCCAACCGCGCGATTCTGGAACCTAGCATTCCCGCGCGACGTTCGTGCATCAGATGGTCGTTCACATCTGCGAGGCAGAAGCTGTACCTCGCGCGAACTCGGTGGCGCTCCACCACGCCAAGAGTCACGAAACATATCGAATTGCCGTCGAAGGACGCCTGCAGGAGCAACGTTGGCATCAGCTAGACTACAAAAGGTCCGGCCTGCGACGATACCCAGAATATCGCACTGGCCGCCCACATTCCCGCCGTAGGCCACGGTCAGGCCCTCGCTCGTCAGCAGGACGGTGTGGTGGCCTCCAGCTGCGACGTTTGTGCACGTCTGGCCTGCGACGAGCTCCAGAATGTCGCACTGGCCGTCGCCACTCCAGCCGCAGGCCACAGCCGTGCCCTCGCTCGTCAACAGGACGGTGTGGCTAGAAGAAGAAAAAATTGTGTTCACAAAGTTCAGGCGCTCCGCGCGGATTTCTTGGATCCGCGCTGGACCCTCTCCCTGGCGCGGGGAGCGCGACGGGGGTGGCGCCGGAGGTGCCGCCAGAGGGGCCCAGCGCGGATCCCAGAAATCTGCGCGGAGCGCCAAAAGTTTGTGTCTGTGGCATTAGGTCTTCTTCGAGTGGCCGCCTCATGCAGCGACATGGGTGCAGCTCTAACCTGCGATGACGTCAGGCATGTCGCACTGGTCCTCCTGCCCCTCTCATCCTCGCCTCGGCTTGCCTTCCTCCTGCCCCGTGGGGGGCCAGGAAGGAAGCAAAAGTCAGTTTGATATCCGAAACCCACAACAACAACAAAAGAAGTTCCCTGTGCTCCGCCTGCAAGAGCGAGCACGGCCTGTGCGCCCGCGCGCGCGCCCCCACTGTCCATCTCGGGGACCTTATGCAACTGGTATCGGCTACACGCAAAGAGTGACCCTGGGTAAGAGTGAGCTTTGGTGCGCGGCTTCTGGGGGGCCGCGGGGAGTCCAAATCCAGGCGCGCAAGCCGCTGCTCCCGCTTCGCGTTCAGCCATTTGGGGTCCCGTCTGTGCCCGCTCCGGCGAAAGGTCACTCTCACGTCTAGTCGATGGTAGCCGAAGGCGGGGAGCCAGCGCCCCAGCCAAGCTAGCCAGCCTGCGCTTCGGCCAGAGCGGCGCGCGCCGCCCGCGCGCGCTCCGGGCCCAGCGCGGCCCGCAGCTGGCAGGCGGTGGCGGCGCGGAGCGCATCGCTCAGCTGAGCGCCCCAGCGCTGCGCCCAGGCGCTCGCCAGCGCCGCGGCGCCTACCTTGTCCAGCTCCAGCTCCTCCTCCTCCTCCTCCCTCCTCCTCCTCCTCCTCCTCCTCCTCCTCCTCCTCCTCCTCTCCTCCTCCTCCTCCTCCTCCTCCTCCTCCTCCCTCCTCCTCCTCCTCCTCCTCCTCCTCCTCCTCCACCTCCTCCTACTCCTCCACCTCCTCCTCCTCCTCCTCCTCCTCCTCTTCCTCCTCCTCATCCTCCTCCGCCTGCTCCTCCTCCTCCTCCTCCTACTTCCCCTTCCCCCTCCTCCTCCTCCGGCTCCGACCCCGACTCGGACTACGGCTCCGACTCCGACGCCAGCTCCAACTCTTCAGCTCCAGCTGCTCCTGCTCATATATCCCTCCCCATGATAAAATCCCACCTCGCCCGCCCCTCCTCCTTCCCCTCCCCCTCCCCCTCCGACCCTCCTGAGATCCGACAGCGCGAAAACCAAAACATCGCAAAAAATAGCGATCAGAGCCCTAGGCCCTATCGTTCTGCAGCATTTTTCGGACCGGATCTATCCATGAGGGTCCTGGGGCCCGAAACAGCGCGAAAATGCCCAACTCGACGAAATTGAGACGCCAGGATCTCAGGGCCCGACTCAGATTCCAGCTCGGGCCCCGACTCCAACCACGACTCCGACTTCGAAGTCGACACCGACTCCGACTCCACCTGGTCCGAGGAAGCCCTCGGTGGGGAAGAATGGCTCTCTAAGGTGGACGCCCGCCGCAACGTTCGCGGCCCAGTTCAGGGCCGCCTGCCGCCAGCCTGTCACCAGAAGGATTCATCGCCGTCGTCGTCCTCCCTGTCCTCCTCCTCCTCCTCCTCCTCCTCCTCCTCCTCCTCCTCCTCCTCCTCCTCCTCCTCCTCCTCCTCCTCCTCCTCCTCCTCCTCCTCCTAGCCGTCCCGGCCCAATCGGCTGGGCATCCTCGCGCGCACTTCGGGACGGCGGGGCGCGAGGGAGCAGATGGCATGGAGGGACACAGAGGGCGCCGCGGCAGCGCCGCGGAGGCGACGCGCAGCAGCTGCCCAGGCAGAGCGCGCCGTGATCGTGAGCGCGGCTGTGCAGGCGGCAGTGGCGGCGGGTGTGCAGGCGGCCCTGCAGACCCAAGCCATTCCGGAGAGGCCACGGCCAAGGGCAAGGCCGACAATGTCTCTGTCGGCACGGCTTCTGGCCATCGAGGACCAGGCGAAGGAGGGCGAGGAGGCGGTGATCGAGCCCCCGCCTGGCGTCTGGGACGCCACACCGTCTCCGCGTCGTGCGAGGCTGACGGCTGTGGTGGAGCCGAGCTCGCGGCGCTCGAGAAGCAGGTCACACGGGCGAGGGCGGCAGCCTCCGGATTGCTGGATGGGCGCCCGCCCCAACCCCCCCGTGCTGGACCAGAAGCCCAAGAAGGACAAAAGGGAAAAGGACAAGAGGGACAAGAAGGACAAGAAGGACAAGAAGAGCAAGAGGTCGTGCATTTCGCCACCTACGGAGGTCAACTTAACAGCGACTCCGACGGTGAGGACTGCACCATGGACGAGCTCCGCGAGTGGTACGAGGACGGCGGCGACAAGGGCTCCGCGTACCAGGCGGAGATCAGCAAGGACCAATTGGAAGTATTGACCTCGTTCGGGGTGCCGGATGGGAGCTACTTCATCGGAGTACGCAGGGGCAGGAAGGTAGTCAAGGTGTTCGACTTCATGGGCCACCAGCTGTCCCTGACGAATGACATCGAGCTGAACCTGGGCCAGGAACAGGATGAGGAGAATGAGGAGACGGCAGCAGGCATCGGCGGCGGCAGCATCGGCGGCTGTGAAGTCGGAGCTACGGGGAACATCTTCGGGGATACGTGGATGAATGGCGAGGCGGTGACGGCAGCAGGCATCGGCGGCAGCGGCATTGGCGGCTGTGAGGTCGGAGCTGGGGGGAAGATCTTGGAGGAGACGGAGTTGGACGGCGAGGCGGTGACGGCAGCTGGCATAGGCGGCGGAGGCGGCATCGGCAGCGTTGAGGTCGGAGCTACTGGGAAGGTCTTCGATGAGACGGAGATGAACGGCGAGGCGGTGACGGCAACAGGCATCGGCGGCGGCGGCATTGGCGGCTGTGAGGTCGGAGCTGCAGGGAAGACCTTGGAGGAGACGGAGTTTGATGGCGAGGCGGTGACGGCAGCTGGCATAGGTGGCGGCGGCGGCGGCATCGGCGGCTGTGAGGTTGGAGCTACTGGGAAGATCTTCGGAGAGTCGGAGATGACCGATGCGGCGGTGGCTGCGGATAGCTCGTTGGAGGCTCCTGTCTGCGGCATGGCTGGCAAGATGGAGGATGAGAGCGACGATGACGAGGTGTACGAGTTCGGGGTGGAGGTCAAGAACTCGTTCAGCGCGTTCGTGGAGGGCGGGGGCGAACTGAAGGAGATTCCACCGTTCCCCAACCTTGTCGGCAAGGCTGCGCTGGCGAGCGCGGAGCAGGTAATCGAGTTCGGCGACGACGGCAAGCAGTGGCGTTACGACGATCGCGGTGCTTTGCAGAAGGCTGTGCAGGCGGGCTCAGAGAAGTCCAGCGCGTGCGGCGACGTTGGCAGGCAGGACGAAGGACACAAGCATGACATGTACGATCACCTGTCCACCGAGGCGGCCGTCGCGGAGGCCGTGAAGCGCTTTGGAGTCGAGTGGGCCAAGATGCACTTGAAAGAGGAGTGGGTGAGCACCTACCTCGATTAGCGCGGGGCCGCCTGCCCTGTGCTGGCTCGACGTGTGGTGGTGTTTTCCTCACTTAGGCGAGGGGGTTGGCACCTGCCTTTTCTCCGCGCTGTCGAGGCCCCATTGGGGGCCTTGAAGGCGCGGCTGGGTTCCCTGGGTCGTCCTCGGGGTTCCCGGTTTTCGGCCCTTGGTGGGCCCTTCCTTGGCCCTTTGGGGGGCCTCCGGCGGCCTCCGCTTCTCGCTCCGTCCTGGGCCGGTGTTGACCCCCTCGGGACGCGCGGGGCCGCTTGCCCTGCGTGGCATGGGCCCCTGGAGTGGGTCCGTATCATCAGAGTCCTCAGAGTCCTCCTCCTCCTCCTCCTCCTCCACCTCCTCCTCCTCCTCCTCCTCCTCCTCCACCTCCTCCTCCTCCTCCTCCTCCTCCTCCTCTCCTCCTCCTCCTCCTCCTCCTCCTCCTCCTCTCCTCCTCCTCCTCCCCATCCTCCTCCTCCTCCTCCTCCTCCTCCTCCTCCTCTCCACCTCCTCCTCCTCCTCCTCCTCCTCCTCCTCCGCCTCTCCGCCTCCGCCTCCGCCTCCGCCTCCGCCTCCTCCTCCTCCTCCTCCTCCTCCTCCTCCTCCTCCTCCTCCTCCTCCTCCTCCCCCTCCTCCTCCTCTGCCTTCTCCACCTCCGCCTCCGCCTCCGCTCTGCCTCCGCCTCCTGCCTCCCTCCTCCACCCCTCCACCTCCTCCTCCTCCTCCTCCTCCACCTCCTCCTCCTCCTCCTCCTCTTCCTCTCCGTCTCCGCCTCCGCCTCCGCCTCCGACTCCTCCTCCTCCGCCTACTCCTCCACCTCCTCCTCCTCCTCACTCCTCCTCCTCCTCCTCCTCCTCATCCTCTCCTCACTCCTCAACTCCTCCTCCTCCTCCTCTTCCCCTCCTCCTCATCCTCCTCCTCCTCCTCCCCTCCCCCTCCTCCTCTCCTCCTCCTCCTCCTCCTCTCCTCCTCCTCCTCCCTCCTCCTACTCCTCCTCCTCCTCCTCCTCCTCCTCCTCCTCCTCCTCCTCCTCTTCGTCGTCATCCTCATCCTCATCCTCGTCCTCATCCTCCTCATCCTCCTCCTCCTTCTCATCATCATCATCATCATCATCATCATCATCATCATCATCATCATCATCATCATCATCAGCAGCAGCAGCAGCAGCATCATCGTCCTCATTATCATCCGCATCATCATCAGCAGCATCATCACCCTCATCATCATCATCATCATCATCATCATCATCATCATCCTCAGCAGCAGCATCATCATCATCACCATTAGCAGCAGCATCAGCATGAGCATCAGCATCAGCAACATCATCATCAGCATCATCAGCATCATCAGCATCATGTTCATCGTCAGATGCAGCATCATCGGCAGCATCATCATCAGCAACAGCATCATCAGCAGCAGCATCATCGTCAGCCTCATCATCATCAGCAGCAACATCAGCGTCAGCCGCCATCAGCAGCATCATCATCATCAGCAGCATCATCATCATCATCAGCATTATCACCATCACCATCATCATCAACATCAGCAGCATCAGCATCATATTCATCTTCGTCAGCAGCATCATCAACAGCAGCAACATCATCAGCATCAGCATCATCACCAGCAGCATCATCATCAGCACCGCAATCATCATCAGCATTACCATCATCATCATCATCATCATCATCATCATCATCAGGAGCAACAGCAGCATCAGAATTATCATCATGATCAGCATCATCAGCATCGTCGTCGGCATCAGCATCATCATCAGCATCATCAGCATCAGCATCATCACTTGCTTCCGCATCAACACCATGATCACAATCTTCATCAGTAGCAGCATAATAGGTATCATCATCCGAATCAGCACCAACCTCATCATGTTCTTCAGCATCAGCACCATCACCAGCATCATCAGCAGCATCATCAACATCAGCAGCCGCATCATCGTCAGCATCAGCATCATCATCTTCATCATCATAAGAATCAGCATCAGCATCAAAACCATCATCATCCTTAGCATGTTCATCATCAGCATCAGCATCAGCATCAGCACCATCATCAACATCATCACCATCAACATCATCATCATCATCAGCGTCATCATCATCAGTATCGTCGCCATCATCATCAAAATCAGCATCGTCATCATCAGCATCATCATCGCCATCATCATCCTTATCCTCCTTCACTCTCTCCTCTCCTCTGTCTCCGCCTCCTCCTCCTCATCCTCCTCTTCATCCTCCTCCTCCGCCACCTCCCTCCCTCCCTTCCTCCCTCCATCCATCAATACATCCATCCATACATCCATACATCCATACATCCGTCCATCCATCCATCCATCAATCCCTCCATCCCTGACCTCCCTCCTTCCCCCTCCCTCCCTCCCTCCATCCGCCTCCCCTTCCTCCTTGTCACCCCTCTTCCTCCTCCCCCCTCCTCCTCCTCGTCCTCCTCCTCCTCCTCCTCCTCCTCTTCCTCCTCCTCCTCCTCCTCATCATCATCCTCCTCCACCTCCTCATCCTCCTCCTCCTCCTCCTACCGCCAGCCTTTCGCCAGCCCGCGCGCCAACAGGGGCGACATCACGTCGTCGGCGAACGAGCTGTACGAGGACATCGTGCTACAGAAGGTCGTCTGGAATTTGCTCGAGACGGCAAGGGGGCAGGAAGGCAGCACATACCCTTGGAAGAGGAGGAGGAGGAGGAGGGGCACGAGGAGGAGGAGGAGGAGGAGGAGGAGGAGGAGGAGGAGGAGGAGGAGGGGCACGAGGAAGAGGCGGAGGAGGAGGAGGATGAATTACCCTGCGACGTACCCAACCCATCTGCACTGAGTGACAAGATGATTTGGTCCAGACATGTACGGCCGATAGCAACACAGGGCCTGTCGTCGGTTGCGCAAGCTATATTGGAAGCGCGCGCGCGCGCTGCACGACTCGCAGGAGAGCAACAGAAGGACGAAGACGAGGCCCCAGGTTCGAAGAGGAAATGCGGGTGGGAACGAAGCGCAGGGAAGAGCGGAAGAGGGGCCGAAAAGTTAACGCGACAGCCGCAGTGAGACAGTGAAAGGAGGAAGAGGACGACTAAGGAGGAAGAGGACGAGAACGAAAGATTGAGGATGGGGAATGAAGGTGGCGATCATTTCCCAGTGACACGCTGGACAAGCAGCGCGGCCCGTGCCCTCTCGTCGTGGCGCTCCAAAGGACCAGCTGTTCATGTCTAGTGCAAAAAGCGAGCTAAGCCGAGCTCGCCCCCCAGGTTCTCCGATTCCTTCCTGCACCGTGCAGTGCAGGAACTGAACACCCGCAGCACGCCGACAGCTCTCTGGGCGGCCGGCGGAAAAGAACATCAAAGCTAGTCTGGGTTTGCGTGGGGCGTCACTCCGATGGACCCCCCAGCAGCCCTCAAAAGTGGCGACAGATCGCAGACACCCCAGGGATGGCGAGGTCTAATCTGGATCTGCGCGGGCTCCGCTGGACCCTCCAGCAGCCCTCAAAGTCGAAACAGATTGGCAAATCGCAGCCGCCAGGGACGGCGAGGTCTAATATGAATCTGCATGGGGCGTCACTCCGCTGGACGCCCCCAGCAGCCGTCCAAAAGTGGCGACAGCCTCGCCGATCGCACACACCCCATGGATGGCGAGGTCTAATCTGAATCCACGTGGGGCGTCACTCCGCTGGACCCCCCAGCAGCCCCCAAAAGTGACAATAAATTGGCAAATCGCAGCGCCACAGGGATGGCGAGGTCTAGTCTAAATCTACGCAGGGCGTCACTCCGCTGGACGCCCCAAGCAGCCCCTCCAAAAGTGGCGACAGTTTCGCAGATCGAAGGTCTAATATGAATTTGCGTGGGGCGTCACTCCGCTGGACCCCCCAGCAGCCCTCCAAAAGTGGCGATAGATTGGCAAATCGCAGCGCCACAAGGATGGCGAGGTCTAGTCTGAATCTGCGTAGGGCGTAACTCCGCTGGACGCCCCAAGCAGCCCTCCAAAAGTGGCGACAGCTTCGCAGATCGAAGACACCCCAGGGATGGCGAGGTCTAATCTGAATCTGCGTGAGGCGACACTCCGCTGGACCACCCAGCGGCCCTCAAAAGCGGCGACAGCTTCGCAGATCGCAGCCCCCCAGGAATGGCGAGGTCTGCTCCGAATCTACGTGGGGCGTCACTCCGCTGGACCCCCCAGCAGCCCTCGAAAAGTGGCGACAGCTTCGCAAATCGCAGACCCACAAGGGATGGCGAGGGCGTTACTCCGCTGGACCCCCTAGCAGCCCTCAAAAGTGGCGACGCCTTCGCAAATCGCAGACCCCCCAGGGATGGCGAGGTCTAATCTGAAACAGCGTGGGGCGCCACAACGCTGGACCCCCCAGCGGCCCTCCAAAAATGGCGACAGCTTCGCAGGTCGCAGCCCCCCACGAATGGCGAGGCCGAGTCTTAATCTGCATAAGGCGTCACTCCGCTGGACCGCCCGGCAGCCCTCAAAAGTGGTGACAGCTTCGCAGGTCGCAGCCCCACAGGGATGGCGAGGTCTAGTCTGAATCTGCGCGGGGCGCCACTCCGCCGGCAGCCCCGAGCAATCAGTCAGACAAGCCCGGCGCAAATACGGCGCATCGGCAAATTAAAAATCGCGCGTGCAGCGACAGAGACAGAGCATGCACGCAGGAGTCCACGCGAGGGGACTAAGCGGATCAGGGGCCAAAGCACCCCGGAAGGCAGTCTACACGTGCCTCGCCGCGAATAAAATGCAATTCGTCCGCGACGTCGGCGATGCAAATTGAAACGAATTTCGCATCATCCTACCGTTGGAAGGAACACAAGGGACACGTTGGGGGAGGGAGGGAAGGAAGAGGAAGGGAGAAGGAGAACGGAACGAAAGTACACACAATGCGAACGTAAGAGCCTATGCACACAAAAGGCCCGCTGTTGTTTTAACCTCTCGCGGCGGCGCCTGCGTTCCCACTGCCTGGGAAGGTCCGTACCGGACACGCAAGTCAAAGTCTCCGGGGTTTGGCGCTCGGGGAGCGCAACGATCTTTCGATGCAGTCTACTCTGCCGGCCACGCGATGTAAAACTCAGCGGAAGTTCCCCGGCGCGCTCCAACGTCTGTATTCGATGCTCTCGACGCATATGTGTTCGGAATTCTCTGAATCCGTCGCAAGCACTGCACATGAAAGCTGTCAACGCGTTTCTTGCCAACTTGCAACAACTGTATAGTTCCTAAATTCACAGGAAACTTCCTGGAGCGGCAGATGTTGGCGCGCGACCAGCACCAGGCCTCATTATTGAAAATATGTCTGGCCTCCCCGATCCTCCTGGTGACCTCGGGATTAGCTACACGATCTACGTTCAGCAGCTCTCCAAGATACACGGCTTGATCCAATCTTGAGTGGCGTCCCGGCAGGAGAAACAACAGCCCCCGCATGATATGCGCGCACACAAACAGTTTAATCATGATTCAGTTCCAGGCCGTATCGCTTGCCTTCGTCAGTGACAATATCCTGAATGATCGTAGTCTTTCCGAACTACTGCCCAGCAGCATTGCGTCGTCAGCGTAGAGCAGATTCCCAAAGACCAAAATCTTCCGGCTCTTGAACGTCAGTGCGAAGCCCTGCCATTCGCCTGTCGATGTCGTGGAACATAACACTCTGAAGGTTTATAAACACATGTAGAGATAGAGGGCAACCTCGTGCATTTCCCGCCGCCTGGCGTCGTTCGCTGGAATATTTAGCAGGGTATTTTTACATGAAAGTCCGATGCCGAAAAACTGCCGCAGCCATGTCCACCATGCCTGGCGGCAGGCCAAATCTGCACCACAAAGCGCCCCATAGAGCGCCATGTTCGACCCCGTCGTCAAAAACTTTGGACCAATCTAGCAAGATTGCGATCAAGCCCCGGGCGTGGCTTCTCTGCGCTGCTTCGGACATGCGCCGTGCGATGCCAATAGCATGGGTCGTGCTTCTCCCAGGCCGGAAACCAAGTTGGCTCGAACGTATCGGGTCTTCTGCGCCCCCATGCTGAATGCGCTTCTGAAGCATCCGAGCCCATATTTTGCATCCGATTGGAAACCCAGCAATCGGCTTAAAATTCTCAGGCAAGCTTGCATCCCCCTTTCTGTGAAGAAGCGCCACAACTGAAGCGCGCCATTCGTCGGGCATGTTCTTCTCGCCCCAGCATCGTTGAAATACTTGGAGCAATTCCCAGCGAGCTTCTTCAGACTGTAACAGAATCGCCCCAAATTCTGGCGGCATTTCGTCTCTGCCCCTGACTCCCCCAGCTGCCAGCGCACGCAGTGCATCTTGAAGATCGTCCTTGTCGGGGGCGCCGGTGACGATGTCCTGGGCATCTCCAATGCTGGTTTGACCGCGTGGGAGAAGATCTGCACGTGTAACTTTCCATTGTATGCTTTCGAAAGAATCTGCCGAATAATCCGCTTTCTGCGAGCTTTCCACCACCTGCCCGTCAACATGTTGATTCCGGATTGGTCGACTCGGCGATTCACTCCGCAGCGCACGCGCCGCGGCCCAATGATCTCCATCCGATTGTTTATCCAGCCGCTTCGAGTTGTCATTCCGCGCGGACTATTTGATGAGTCTGTTCAGCCTCTGTTGCCCCACCACATCTTTCCTTGCCTGAGCTTGGTATTTTTGGTCTAGCAGATCAGGCGTTGCTGGAGAAATCCAGGGCCGCCGCGGTTCCCTTCCAGCATGTGCGATTTCTCCTGCAGCATACGTCATTAAATCTGCGATGAACTTGGCACGCGTGTTCAAATTATCCGCACTCGTTGGCACCGCTGTAGCTTCGCTGAACTGGCGCCGATAGTTTTCAGCGACGGCTTTGTCGTTCAGCAGCAGGTTCACGCAGTGGTTCGTTTTCCGAGGGGCGTTCGGAACGATGTCGAATTGCAGATCCAAGTGCACTCGCAGCAAGAAGCGCCGGGATGCTAACGCAAGTGTTCTGTCCGCCCAGATGTCAAATATTTTCCCGAGCGCATGGTGGTCCGCAAGACACTTGTCAACTTGCGCAAAACCATCAGCAATTGGAGAACATCTGCACACTTCTGCCCCATAGTACGTGACCAACTTTTCAGGGGGGGTCGCAAAATACGCGTTCCCAATCGCGCGCGAGACAGTCCAGCAAGTTTCTAATCGCAACTCCCCGTGAAAAGTTCGTCTTTGTCGCGTCCATTTGCTCCGGAACAAATGTTCACCAATTACGTATTCGTCTCCGGGCCCCTGGTCGCATCATCTAGAAGTGAAAACGCCAAGATCCACAGCGCAGCTATGGTTGGACGCTGCCAGCAAAAATCCCACCAGCCCTTTGGGCGTGAGTGGTTTAGCGAGCTCTCTCTGTTCTCAACCCCCCTTCTTCCCCTTCGGGGAGGGGTTTACCCCTCCCCCTACCCCCTCCCCCTAGACCTGGAGAGGGCGGGCCGAGCGTCGTCAGGGGGGTCTTTTTTGACTCCTGGGAGGGCCAAAAAACGACGACCCTCACGAGGATTCTGGCCCCGACGGGGGGGCCCAGTTTGGCCCCTCTGCTCTTCTTTAAAGCCAAAATCATTGATTTTACTAAGGTTTTGGCTCCATTTTGGCCTTCTGAGGGGGCCGCGCTCATCTTCCTTCAAAGCAAAATCATTGGTTTTACGAAGGTTTTGGGCTCATTTTGTCCTTCTCAGGGGGGCAGCGCTCATTTGCGCTTCTGAGGAGGTCGCAAAAGGCCCCAAGATGGCCCCAAGAGGCCCCCAGGAGGCTCCCAAGAGGCCTCCAAGAGGCCCCCAAGAGGCCCCCAAGAGGCCCCAAGAGGCCCCCAAGAGGCCCCCAAGAGGCCCCCAAGAGGCCCCAAGAGGCCCCAAGAGGCCCCCAAGAGGCCCCCAAGAGGCCCCCAAGAGGCCCCCAAGAGGCCCCAAGAGGCTCCAAGAGGCCCCCAAGAGGCCCCACGAGGAGCCCGAACGACTCACACCAGGACGACGAACGACTCACACCACGAAGAGCCCGAACGACTCACACCACAAGGAGGGGCCCGAACGACTCACACCAGGACGAGGCGCCCGAACGACTCACACCACGAGGAGCCCGAACGACTCACACCACGACGCGGGCCCCGAACGACTCACACCACGAGGAGCCCGAACGAGTCACACCAGGAGGAGGGGCCCGAACGACTCACACCAGGACGAGGGGCCCGAACAACTCACACCACGAGAAGCCCGAACGACTCACACCAGGACGAAGAGCCCGAACGACTCACACCACGAAGAGCCCGAACGACTCACACCAGGAAGAAGGGCCCGAACGACTCACACCAGGACGAGAAACCCCAAACGACTCAAATCACGAGGAGCGCTTTCTCTCCCTCCTCCTCCGCCTCGTCCTTCTCCCGCTCCCCCCACAAGGAGGATGTACAAGGAGGCGGGAGGAAGGAGGAACAGGGGAGATATGCGGGGCCAAGCGGACACACGCCTGAAAAACACGACTGCCGGCATGCTTCGCAAGAGTTGCTGCTGTGAGATGGGCTGGTGGGGATACGCGAAGCGTAAAGAATTGCGCGATCTCGTCGAAGAAGTCGCTCCTATCTTCAGAGTCGCGACCGCCACGGGGCGCGCAAGCAGAAATAAGGTTGAGAACGCCGCCTTTCACCTTAACCTTCAAAATCGCGAGCCTATCTGAAATAAGCTCATAATTGATGATCGACTTGGTGGCCCAAGGTGCAATTAGAAATCCCACTCCGGAATAAATCGCCATTCTCCTGGTGGCTCAGAAGTACCAGCAAGGCTAAGCAGATAACCATTATCAAGAAGCTCTGTGCTTGTGCAGATCCCAGTTTCTTGCATGCACAATATCGCAATCGTGCGTTGTTCCATGTAGTATTGGAATTCTGCCACTTTCGCCATGTCTTTGCCCAGACCTTCGACATTCCAGCTCCCGAACAGTTGCTCATAGAGTGGCGCGCAACACCTTGAAGCCGAGATGTGCGCAGTATTGGAAGCATTGGTGTTTCCATCTGCGCCCGTTCCATGCGTCTGAAATAGCGGCGTTCTGGCAGCGAGACTCGTGCCACGAGGCTCGAGTGCCCGTCATATTTCATGTCCCAGCGCTTCCTTTCGAGGTCCCTCTGGCTCCACCTTGCATCCCTCTTGACGTCCTCTCCAGCATGGCGTCGCACTGTGGCAATAAATCCAAAAATTGCGGGTGGGCTTGCAATTCGGCCCAATATGCCCAATTCTTCTCCCAAATGCGCTCGATGCGATGACCAACAATATTTACGGAAAGAGCTTAATGCCCACCGACTTCAACAGTAGATGGTGCTTCGTCAGAAACCCTGATCTTATGTGGGCTGTTCATGTCTTGCGCCAGTAAATACTTCAACCCAAAACGAAGATTGCGCGCCGCCCTCACGGCTGGATTCCTGCACTGCGTACACAAAACAGTGCGTGCGCCTCGCTGGAGTTTGGCACTGCGCTGTTGCGCCACCGCCGTATCCCTTTCGAACATCGTCTGGAACTCGGCGAAAAGGATGACCTTGAACTCGTTTCGAATAATGTTTGTAGGGGTTGGCCTTTCCATTTTGCTCACCTCCTTCCGAGAACAATCGGAAGCGGCATAAAGAGAATCGAATCCTTCCAAATTCCCCATCACCGCTGTGACCGCGCGCTTCCCGTAGTAGTGGTACTGGTCAGCCGTGTTATGTGAAACACCGGATGTTGCCAAATTCGCACGGTTGCCACTGTAGCGGTAGTTGTCTGCAGAGTTGTGCGATATCCCGGAAGCCGATCGCGGAGTACAAAATGCCATGTGGCCCAGGTCTTGCCTGATATTGCCGAAGCGCTCGTTCATGCAGTTCTCCAAATTGGTAACCTGTATCTGTGCATCCTCGATCTCGTGCTCGAATTTCGTATTTATTTGTTCGATTGAAGTCTTGAATGGCTCTGTGGCTTCTTGCAGGTCCCGCTGTGACATCCCATAAAGCTTAATAACACCCATATATTGTTGGATGGGTGGTTGGTGTTCTGCAATAAGAGTGCCGATAGCTGACAAAGTAATTGGACCATCTGTATGCTTCCCTTTACTTTTATGTTGCCCATCCGCGCCAGCTGCGGCCGCGATGTTCATAACGAGTCGTTGCTGGCCTGCGCCTGGGGGGTCGTCGCTAGAAGCCACTGCATCCACAGCCGATTGTGGTGGTCCTGCTGCTTCTGCGTGTTCCACTATGAGCCCGTCCATCTCGTTCAGCGGACTCTTGGCACAGGCAGCTTTTGCTGTAGGTGAAAGCGGCGATTTAGAAGAAAACAGTGAAGCGATAGTATGCTTCTCCACCTTGAACAGCTGCTCGACAGGGGTACCTGAAGAAGGCATGGGTGTGGCGTCGAAATCAAAGGAATCCAAGTGTGGAGGGTACGAGAAAAGAAATGGAAATGGAATGGTGAAGTCGGAAACTAGGGAATGTAGGAGTATCGGATGTATCGGCCCTTGAGCCCTCTTGAGCCCCCCCGAGCAGCCCTTTAACAAAATGGCGACTGCTTATCAGATCGCAGCCCCACATAATGGCGAGGCCTAATCTAAATATGCGTGGGGCATCACTCCGCTGGACGCCCCAAGCAGCCCTCCAAAAGTGGCGACATCTTCGCAGATCGCAAACCCCCCATGGATGGCGAGGTCTAGTCTGAATATGCGTGGGGCGTCACTCTGCGTGGGGCGTCACTCCGCTGGACTCCCAGTAGCCCACAAAAGTGGCGACAGTTTCGCAGATCGACGACGGCGACGATGGACAGCGACGACGATTCCAGCGGACGGCGGCAAGCTTCGCCGGACAGTGACGGCGACGGCGACGACGACGACGACGACGACGAGGAAGACGAGAAAGGGCGATGCCTGTGGGGGCCTCCAGAGGCCCCCAGGGGAAGCGAAGTTTAGAGGCACCGTGGCGCCGCGCCGACCACCACGAGTCGTGGCAGCCAGCGCTTCGCGTGAGCCTAGACCCTCCAGGAGCTGGGCAAGGGAAGGAAACGCCTTGGGGGACCTCTGCAGACACTCAGACCTCCAAGGGGATTAAGGAGAAGGAGGAGGAGGACGAGAAGGAGGAGGACGACGACGACGAGGCCGAGGACGAGGACGAGGACGAGGACGACGACGACGACGACGACGACAACGACGAGGAGAGGAGGAGGAGGAGGAGGAGGAGGAGGAGGAGGAGGAGGAGGAGGAGGGTGTTGTTGTCCTGCGAGTGCGCCTTGCTTGCTCATTGCACTCGCACCGACAGACGAAGCGGCGCTTCCGCGCACCGTGCAGAGGGCAACGAACAGGGAGAACGAGGAGGACGAGGAGGAGGACGAGGAGGACGAGGAGGACGAGGAGGAGGACGAGGGGTAGGAGGGTGGACTCGTTCCTCTCTGCCCCCCCGGGGATGATCACAGAGGCGTCGCTGCTGCTGAACTGGAGCAGCTTCAGGGACGAGGACACGGTCTGGTGGCAAGCCTTGGGGGGGGGGGCGGGCGACCCGCTGCTCCGCCCCCGCGCGCGGGGCTCCCCTCGTGTCCGCGGCAGCGCAAGGGAGGGAGTGGGGGGCGAGGGGGGAGGCGCAGGGGGGGGGGAGGGGAGGAGAGCAGCAGCAGGGAAGAGGAGGGAGCAGGGAGGAGGGAGGAGGAGCAAGGAGGGGAGGGAGGAGGAGGCAGGAGAAGGGAGGGGAGAGGGACAGGGAGAAGGGAGGGAGGACATCCATCTCATCCTCCCCCTCCTCTTCTGATCCTGATCCTGATCCTGATCCTGATCCTCCTCCTCCTCCTCCTCCTCCTCCTCGTCATCATCATCATCATCATCATCATCATCATCATCATCATCATCATCATCATCATCATCATCATCATCATCAGCATCATCATCATCATCGTCATCATCATCAGCATCATCAGCAGCATCATCAGCATCATCATCGTCATCATCGTCAGCATAATCATCATCCTCATCCTCATCCTCAACTCGTGTTCCTTCTCCTCCTCCTCCTCCTCCTCCTCCTCCTCCTCCTCCCCATCTCTTCCTCCTCCTCCTCCTCCTCCTCCTCCTCCTCTTCATCTTCATCATCAGCATCAGCATCATCAGCATCATTAGCAGCAGCATCATCAGCATCATCATCCGCAGCATCATCAGCATCATCAGCTGCATCAGCATCAGCAGCAGCCTCATCATCGTCATCATCATCATCAGCAGCAGCATCATCAACATCACCGTCATCATCATCAACATCAGCATCATCAGCATTTGAATCATCATCATTGTCATCAGCAGCATCATCAGCATCATCAGCATCCTCATCTTCATCATCATTATCATCATCACCACCACCATCATCACCATCCTCACCATCATCATCATCATCATCATCATCATCATCATCATCATCACCATCATCATCCGTCTTATCCTTCTTCTCATCCCTCCTCGTCATCCTCCGCTTCCCCGTCCAAACTCCTCCCCCCTCCCTGAAAGCTCCTCTTCCTCCTCCTCCCCCATGCTCATCATCACCCTCCCAGTTCTCTCGCACCGTGTTATGTTTCGTCTTGTTATTCCGCCTCCCCCGCCTCCAAGAGAGACCGAGAGAGAGAGAGAGAAACAAAAAAAAGAGGGAGAGAGAGAGTGCGTGAAAAAGATGGAGATGGGGGGAGAGAGAGGCCGCCTGAATTCTGGCAGATCCCCGCCGCAACGGAGGGAGCAGGAGGGACGCCCTGCCAGACTGGTGGGGAACGTCGTCGCCGAACTTCGTCGTCGTCGTCCTCCTCCTCCTGCTCCTACTCCACCTCTACCTCCTCCTCCTCCTCCTCCTCCTCCTCCTCCTCCTCCTCCTCCTCCTGCTGCCTGCCTCACCGTCGTGGAAACTAAAAGTCGTCGTCGTCGTCGTTCTCGGCATCGTCGTCGTCATACACGTCGGATATCGTCGTCATCGTCGTTCTCCTCCTCCTCCTCCTCCTCCTCCTCCTCCTCCTCATCCTCCTCCTCCTCCTCCTCCTCCTCCTCCTCCTCCTCCTCCTCCTCCTCCTCCTCCTCCTCCTCCTCATCGTCCTCGTCCTCGTCATCGTCATCGTCATCATCGTCGTAATCGTCGTCTTCCTCCTCCGACTCCTCCTCCTCCTCTTCGTCGTCGTCAACGTCGTCGTCATGAAAGCGTCGTCGACGTCGTCGTGGTCGTCTTTGTCGTCGTCGTCGTCGAGGTCGTCGTCGTCGTTGTCGTCGTCGCTGCCGTTCTCGTCGTCGTCGTCGGCGGCGTCCTCGTCATTGTCGTCGTCGACGACGTCATCGTCGTCCGGCATCTTCCTCCCACATCCCATCCTCCTCCTCCTCCTCCTCCTCCTCCTCCTCCTCCTCCTCCTCCTCCTCCTCCTCCTCCTCCTCCTCGTCCTCCTCGTCCTCCTCTTCCTCCTCTTCCTCCTCCCGCGCGCTCCCGCGCGTTCGGCAGGGGGGGAGGAGGGGGAGGAGGAGGAGGAGCAGGAGGAGGAGGAGGAGGAGGGGAGGGAGGAGCAGCAGCAGCGGCAGCAGAAGTGCTGGCAGGACGAGGAGGCCGCGAGGCAATCGGGGGCCAGAGCTCTTTTGGCCTGCGCACCTGCACGGGACGTCTCGAGCCGGATCGATCCGTGAGGGCCCGGGAGGCATCCACGATGCCAGGACGACGGGGCTCCCAAGCAGCTACAAGACGCAGCATGGCCCCTCGAAGCCCCCTCCAGCCTCCGAGAGCCGAGGGCATCTGGGAGTCTCAGAGGCCGCAGAAGTCATACGAAAGCCATCATTCGCAACCATCATCCGCAAGGGGCTTCCGAACCATCATTCGCAACCATCCAACATCATCCGAAGACATCCGGGACTCATCCGGAGGCATCCGACGATCTCTGAATACCCCCGACGGCCACCGAAAGGAACTTCCGAGAAATCCCAGCAGCCATGAGGCTCAGGGCGCACAAGTTCGCGATGACCGTTGCCCAGCGCACGCCCCACATGGAGTCCTGCGCGGATGAGAAGGAGGCGAAGGAGAAGGGATGTCCTCCTCCCCCTCCCTCTAATTCTCGCCCCCATTCTCCATCTTGCCTCCTCCTCCTCCTCCTCCTCCTCCTCCTCCTCCTCCTCCTCCTCTCCTCCCCCTCCTCCCCCTCCTCCTCCTCCTCCTCCTCCTCCTCCTCCTCCTCCTCCTCGGTCCCCCCCTCCTCCTCCTCCCCCTCCTCCCCCCTCCTCCCTCCTCCCACCTTCTTCTTCCCTCTCTCCCTATCCGCCCCCCGAGGCCAATGGAGGCCAAAGCTTACACCCTGGCGGCAGCAGACGCTCAACCAAATGAAAATAAAGTAACACCAGACATACGGGAAAACGTAGGAAAACACACAGGGGGAGACCAGGAGAGCGACGGCAGGGGAGGCCATACGGGAAATCACGAGGAGATCACGGAGAAGACCATAAGGGGAACCATCAGACGGGAAACCATACGGGAGACCACACGGGAGACCGCACGGGAGGGCGTGAGGGAGACCATCCGGAAGCCCATAAGCAAGACCACATCGGAGGTCATGCGAGAGGCCACGAGGGAGACCACAACAGGAGAGCACACGGAGAGCGCACGGGAGGGAGCACGCGGGAGAACAGACGGGGAGACCGCACGGCAGGCCACGCGGGAGACCATGCGCACGGGAAGCCAGACCACAGACCACACGGGAGATCATGCGGGATCTCATGCGGGAGAACGCGCGGGAGGTCATGCCAGAGACCGCAGACCGCACCGCAGGCCATACTGGAGATCACACGGGGGACCTTGCGGGAGATCGTACCAGAGACCATACCGCACACCAGCTGGGAGAGCATGAGCGAGACCACACGGGAGAGCATGCCGGAGACCACACCGCAGACCATCCTGGAGGCTATACTGGAGACCATGCGGAAGACCAGACGGGAGACCATCGAGCCACCAATTCCAGGACTGGCCACAGACCCCCCGGCCCTTCTTCGAGCCACAGATGGGTGCAGGGTGTACATATACATATTATTTGAACACAGAAGAGAAAGAGAAAAAGAGAGAGAGTCTAACAAACAAAAACTGACAGACAAGCTCCCTTGAAAACTTCAACAAAACCTCGAGCAGGAAGAGAGGGAGGGAAAGGAGGAGGAAAAAGGGGAGGCAGAAGGAGGAGGAGGTAGGAAGCGGGGGCCACCGCATACAGACAAAGATCCCAGAGCAGCGCGGCACGGTATCACTGCTGCGACGACGCCGACGACGACCGCGGGCGAAGAGCGCTTAACGATCCGCACCAGAGTACGAAAATTGGGACCAGGGGACCGCCCTGCGAGGTCTGGTGCACGGCACTCCGTGGAGCGGTGCTGCGTCCTCCCCCCCCCCCTCCCGAGCTCGGGCCCAGCATCGCCCCTGGAGCAGCGGCCTGACACTTCTTGTCTGCACCACGATGCCTGGCTGAGCCCAGGAGCGCGCTTCTCAGGCGCGACGGAAAGCGGGTCCAGGAACACGGGTTGTGGAGGTGCTCCCTCGCCTCAAGAGGTCCTCGAGATCCCTAAACACGGCTCCGAGGCGGTGACCATGTATGTGGATACACTCTGGCGCCAGAGGAAAGGAGGTGCGGCCACGACGACGACGCGCACGACGCGCACAAATGCGACGGCGATGGCGACGTCGTTCACGCCCACGACGGCGACGGCGGCACCAACGACTTTGACGGCGGGGGCGGCGACGAGGTCGGCATCGTCGTCCGCGTACTCGTCGTCGCCGCCCTCATATTCCTCGTCGACGTCCTCGTCGTCCTCGTCGTGCTCGTCCTTGTCCTGGTTCTGGTACTCGTCCTCGTCCTCGTCGTCGTTCTCGTCGTCGAAGTCATCGTCGTCGTCGTTGTCGTCGTCGTCACCCTTGTTCTCGTCGTCGCCCTCGTCCTCGTCCTCGTCCTCGTCTTCTCCTCCTCCCTCTTCCCACGTACTCCTCCTCCTCCTCCGGCCCCTCCTGCTCGCCCTCGTCGTCGTCAGAGTCGCCGGGGGAAAGGCGAGGTCCGCGGGCGCGAGCGAGGTCACGGCGTCCGCCGCCAGGCAGGCCGCGGCGGACATGACCCAGCCGCAGCAGAGCGCCAGGGGCGCGCGGCCTCCGCCCGGCCACTTGGATCGCCGCTGGCGGCAAGGACGCCGTCACCGACGACGTCGACGACGACGAAGACGACGACGACGGCGACGGCGGCGGTGGCGGCGGCGGCGGCGGCGAGGACGGCGGCGACTGTGACGGGGAAGCGCGCCAACGGCGCCGCTGCCGTCGAGGTCGGCGGCCGCGCCGTTAACGCCGTCGTCCTTTTCGGCGTCGTCGTCGTCCCCTTCGGCGTTCGCACGACTTGGGCCGGTTAGACGCACTCGCGCTCCAGACCCCAAACGCAACCTGACGTGCGTGGCTACCGCATGTTTGCAGGATTCTTTTCATGCTGCACAGAAGGCGCCCGTCCCGTCCTCCGTATCCTTCCAAACGCGCTCCTGCCACCAGTATTGGCGCTTCCGTGCATTGCCTTTCCGTACCAGCGTGCCCACCGTATGTGTGGGCCCCTTACCAAATTGCCTTCGCACCCGTCTTACCTGTCGTGCAGCTTGCACGCGAAGTCTAATTCCTTCATGTGAGCATTTACCTCATAAGCCAGGGTGGTGTTCGACATATTTTATACCCCTTCGGCATCGTCACTGGCACCTTCGTCGACGCCCTTGTCGTCGCGGCTCTAGGCTCGGGAATCGAGGGTGGAGGTGTTGGACGCTCTTGGCTCTTTTTCGACCTGGGGAGGCCTTCAGGCGCCTCGAGGCGGAATTTGCTGTGTTCTTGTTGCTTCGAGGTGGAGGTTTTGGACGCTGTTGGCCTCCAGGAGCCTCGAGGTGGAGGTCTTGACCGCTCTTGGCCCTATTGGCTCAAGGATCGAGGATCGAGCGTGGGGGTGTTGGACGCTTCTGGCCCTTTTTGACCTCTGGGGGCCTCTAGCGGCCGTCGAGGCCGTCGTTGTCGTCGTCGTCGGCGTCGCCGCCCTCGTCGACGTCGTCCGCGTTGTCGTCGCGGCTCGAGGCACGAGGAGTCGGAAGCGTTGACCACCTTTTCGAACCTCCCGAGGCCTCCTGGGGCATCCGGGAACCCCTGGGGACCTCCAGGGATCTCAGGACCCAGGAGACCTTTAGGTGTCCTCGGAGGACTCCCGTCGTCCTCGTCCTCGACCTTTTCTGTCTCGTCATTCCTACACCCTCTACGCTCCACCATCCTCTCTCCTCCCTCCTCCTCCTCCTCCTCCTCCTTCACCTCCTCCTCCTCTTCCTCCTCCTCATCATCACCATCATCACCATCATCATCAACATCAACATCAGCAGCACCATCATCATCATCATCATCATCATCATCATCATCATCATCATCATCATCATCATCATCATCATCATCATCATCATCATCATCATCATCACATCATCATCGTCACCATCATCACCATCACCATCACCATCATCAACATCATCATCATCATAGTCATCATCATCCTCAGCCTCATCCGCATCCTCATCCTCATCCTCATCCTCGTCCTCATCCTTCTCATCCCCCAGTTCCATCGATCCTTCCTCTTCCTCCCCTTCCCCTCACCTCTTCCTACCCCATCGATGGCCTCGCCCATCCTGCTCTTCCTCCTCCTCCATCTTCCTCCTTAAAAGTAACTTCTCCCTGTTGCACCCCGAGGCCAGTTTTTAGGGCGGGCCGCACGTTTCGCCTAAGACTTCCTCACCATTTATGACCCTGAAACTTAAAAATCGGCAACAGCTTGACTGATGGAGGGCGAGTCGTTTTCAACATGTGGCTCTCGCCTCAGTGCAGCACACACTAGTTTAAAAAAATTGCAAGACTTTCACGGATTGAAAGCGGGTCGTTTTCAAAATGTGGCTCTCGTCTTAGCGCCGCGCACATTAGTTTCAAAAATTTGCAAGAGCTTCACGGATTGAGGGCGGCTCGTTTTCAAGATGTGGCTCTCGCCTTAGCGCAGCGCACACTAGCTTTGAAAAATTGCAAGAGCTTCATGGATTGAGGGCGGGTCGTTTTCAACATGTGCCTCTCGCCTTAGCGCCGCGCACATTCGTTCGAAAAAATACAAGAGCTTCACGGATTGAGGGCGGTTCCTTTTCAAAATGTGGCTCTCGCCTTAGCGCCGCGCACAGTCTTGTTCGGAAAAATGCAAGGGTTTCACGGGTTCCCAGGATCGACGTGCCAGAAATGGTGTTTTAGAAGGGTTCACGATTTTGAAGGCGCAACAGCTACG